AAATAAATTTTAAAAGCAGGAAAATTATGATCCCAAACTATTGATTACATCTGTATCTAAATATTTAGCTACAGGTATACACGCAGATTTGAAAAAATTTCATGGAAAACTCCAAGTGATCCTTTCTTCCTCGCGGTGATATGTAACATGTACAAGCATGCTTTTCTTTGTATTCCATCTTTTCCCCCCACTTAATGCACTGCTCTTTAAAGAAAAGGAAAGAAAGTATCAATAGAAACAGTTTAGGTACATTTGCAGTATCAGTATGACTAAGAAAGACTGATGCATGTAGGATTCATGTTTCTCACACTGTCCAAATCTCCCTGAGGGCCACTATCTGGAGAGCTGCCAGCCCTGTGGCAAAGGAGTTACAGGAAAGCCTAAAAAGAAAGAAGCACCGTGACTGGCTAACTGAAAACCATTGGAGAGCCAGACCGTAACGTTGTCCTGCCAAGCTTCAGCATATATGGTTGCAAAATCTGAGCCGTGTTCAGGCCATGGCAAGTGTCTTGCATTTCATCAGGTCATTTACAAGGCACCTCAACCCTGGACCATTAACCATCCAGGCTGTGGGGTAATGGAATAGCGCTTACCTACTAACCCTAAAACAAGCTCCCTGCGTGTGACCTACATCCTCCCACTGCATGTGTGTGGGGGGGAAAAAAAATAATGACATCGTAGAAGAAAAGCAGCTGCTGTGCATTGAGCCACAGAGGAAGAAACTCTCAAGAGCGAGAGACAGCAGAAATGCTTCCAGAGGCACAGAGATGCATCAAATAACGTGGCAGAGTTGAGAACTCGCAAGAGAAAATGAACCAACGGATCGCAGCTGAAGGTGGTTTCCTGAGGTAAAAGCCCACAGTAGAGGAAAAATCCTAGGCTTTGTAATCACTGAGTGGTCACTCAGCCAGTTTAAACAATGTGTGCTAAATATAAAAAATTGTTTGTAACCAATGATTTGAATGCTTGCTACTTGTTTAAAATGTAAATGAAGTATGCATGTATATGTGATACATTTTGCATAGTAATGAGTGGCTATTAGCAGTGAGCAAAATGCTCTGCCGAATTCACTGATGTGAAAAAGAGTCCCTCAGTAATTGCAGGGTTTGGGCTTTTGAACCACCTTGTCTCTCTCTACTCAGGAATGTCCTACCTCTCAGGAGTGTACTTTCACTATTAATTAATAAACGACCCTTGTTCTCTCACGATTGGTGGGTGTCATTCAGTTCTTTGTCTGAAACACCAAGAACCTGCACATCTCAGAAGTAATCCTGTAACATACACCATGGTGAGCCACGCCAGGAGAAAGCATGGGAAATAACCTCTTGACTCCCATGGGACTCAGCCCTTGGGACCCATTGGTCAGACTGCTGGATAAAAACCCCTCACCTCCAGCCCTTCTATGGCGTCCCATTCAGGACACCTCTCTGCCCATGAGCACAGTTCTTTCTTCCCTTTCTTAATAAACTTTGCTTTGCTATCCTGTCCCACAAAATAATAATGATAATAACAATAATTACTGCAGAGTTTGAGAATGAGACCAACTACACGATGACATGGAAAACAATACAGTCGAGCTGTAGTGGAGAAAATTTCAACATTTTGATAAAAACCTCACATATTTTAAACCAAAGTACCCCTGGAATGACTACATTTTATACAGAAATGCAATCACTTTATAAGCCATGGTAAAACTGTCAATGCACTACTTTATTTTATTTTATGGTTTCTTATTGATATTTAATTGCTGTACATGTTGTGAGGCACTACATGGATTTTCCAAGCATGTGTGCATTGTATGGCATTCAAATCAAGGATAATACCATGTTTGCTGTGGTTGACAAGGAACACCACACTTGAGATCCATACAGAGATTGACAATGTCTGCTTTTGTCACTGAGTGGCCGTATCCTGTTCCACAACCCACTTGCCCCAGGTACCTGCACTCCTGTGTCTGAAATGCTTTTCATTCTAATCCTCTCCTCTCCACTGCAGCCTGCCCCACCCTGCATGCAGCCTCTGGTATCTGTGTTGTCCTCTCCTCTGTATCTTCAAATTGTATTCTTTTTTATGTATGTATGCATATGTGTATGTACTTTTAAATTTGCTATAGGATGTGTGCACTCACCAGAAAGAGAGTGAAATACCCTGCAAGGCCATGCCATAATCCTTTCTCAGGATTTCAGGCATGTATGCACACATACCCAATGTGTTTTTCAAGTCTCCAGGTTAGAGACTGGAACCACAGAGACTGCCTTGTGGAGTCCAGCCACCTTAACCACCACATCCCTGGCTGATCCTGTGCTCCCTTTTATTTTAATTTATTTGTTTGTTTGTTTATCTATTGTTATACGGCATATGCATTCACTGGGGAGAAAGAAGGAGACAGAAAGAAGAGAAAAAGAGAGAGAGAGAGAGAAACACCTCCGGGGGTAGAGAGAGAAAATGACAATGCCAAAATCCCTTCTTCCCATTCTCCTCTCAGGATTTTGGGCATATATGCATATATGCCCAGTGTATTTTTCAAGCCACCGGGTCCAAGACGTATACTGTGCAGTGAGAGTGTGATTTCACTGCCTTAACCACTATGCAACCTGGCTGGTCCTCCTAGACTCATTTCAGTAAAGGGTTTTCTTCCTTTTAAATGAACCATGTATTCTGCAATTTTTGTGTAACTAGCTTATTAATAATTAAATTATATTCTAAATACATTATAAATCATTATGATTATGAGAATTATATCTAATATAAACTGCCTAAATAATTTGTGCAGAAAAAAATAGTTTCAAAAGACAAGATGTGGGGCCCGCAGGTGGCATGGTGGTTAAGGTGCTGAACTCCCAGGTGGGTGACTGAGGTTTGAGTCCTGGACCTGGTGGCTTGCTTTCTCACTTTCCCTCCCTGTCTCTCTCTGGTTAAATTAAATACTAATAGTAAAATGAATAATTTTTTAAAAAGAAAAGATAAAATGTATTATCTTGGATGAAGATGACATGAAATTACATCAGACAGGGCCAGCTGGTGTGCAGTGGTTAAGGCATCTAAATCCCATATGGCCAACTTCATTGCTGAGGCCTGGACCCAGTGGCTTGAAAAACACCACAGGTGCCTGTGCGCATGCCACAGATCCTGAGAGGAAAATGGAGAAGGGGCTGTGGTCTGACCATCCCACCGGGGGTGGGGGGGTGGGGGGTGCTATCTCACTTTCCCTTTTTCTCACTGCCCCTTTCTCCCTCTCTGTTTCTCTCTAGCAAGTGGACTGCCCTACACAAACAAACAAACAAACAAACAAACAAACAAACAAACAAAAAATTTGGATTTCAGCAGTAACCAGTGTGGTAGGATACATAGCAAATGTCTAATTTTTATAAACATTAACTCCCTCACCAGAAGACGTGTTAGTAATACTCAGCTCATATATTTGTTGTAAAAAAAATAAAATAATAAAAAAACTAAAATATTTCATGTCAATGGTCTTTTTTAAAGACTGGCTCAAGGTAGAATCATGACAAATGCCAGTTCTTATACTTGCATGTTGGACATCTGGACACATTATGAAAACCCAAGAATGGGCTGAGCTACATGCTTCTGGTTAGTGCACAGTAACTATCATGAACACAAAAGTGGGACATAACTGAAAGGGGAGTCCTTGTGGTGACACAGGGATCAAACATGAAGCTCTTCAAGGCAGGCACGCCAGCCAAACCAGAGTTCTCCCTGAAGATGTCTGTACACGTGCCCAGGAAATGGGCTGGCTGAGGCAGGGGTGGATCGTGGCATCAAGACTGTCTGGAGCACTGTATCTCTGTGTCTCTGACTTAGAGAATAAATGAATAAACTTCCTTTTTGGGGGGAGAGATTTTTGCTATAGGGCACATGCGCTCGCCAGAAAGACAGAGAGTCAGAGAGGCAGAAAGTGAAAAATCACCCCTGCCCCAGGGGGATGGTCATGCCACAATCCCTTCTCCTCCATTCTCCTCTCGGAATCTTGGGCATGCAGGCACATGTGCCCGGCATGAGTTTAAGCCACCGGGTCCAGGACACGAATCCTGGTTGACTACATGGGAGTTCAGTGACATAGCCATTATGCCAACTGCTGGTCCCATGAATAAACTTTCTTTAAAAAGTAAAACACAAATAAAATAAAAAATGAAAGCTATTCTTTCCAAGTCCTTAAAATATAACTACATGGGAAGATAGGCAGTAAAATGTTCATTACAAGCTTTTCATTTATTTATTTTTAAAATTTTCTCAAATATCTACGACAAGGAAGATAAACCTGAATAACATAAATTCTTCAGAGTGCTCACACTCCTGGCTGACAAATGTATCTTTTCTATAGCCTTTGGTGAAGGTCATTCATTGCATTTTACTTGTCTTGACCAGAAAATTGTGGCTTTTCAATATGACAGCCGGCAGAGGCCCCTGAATAGTGAATTACTGATGCTGAAATTCATATGTCTTAAGTCAGTCAGTGGAGTGGGAAGGCGGTTGGAAGAGAATACATACCAGAGACACTTCGCTAATATCACTCATCTTTTGATTTATTACAGTTTTTATCTGCAGAGTAATTATTTTTGTTTCCTGTTTTCTCCTTTATGATCTCTTTTTAAATAACTCCACAATTGGCACAGATTGAAGGTACAACAGATTTCAGTAATAGCATTTACTTAGAGAGATGCACATCTTTAAATTTTAAGACAAGCACGTGCATTCAATGGAAAGGAAAAAAATCTTGAAAGTTCTCATGGTGTTTTTAGAAGTATTATTTCCAGTTCACATTCAGCTTCTTTTAAGTTAAAGGAGCTTCTATACCTTTTTCACCCTCTCTCTCATAGAAGAGCGCCTGCAATTGTAAAGCATTCAGTCCGATGAGACTTTTGTAAAATGAATCACTATCGCATTCCTACCATGAGCTTCCGAACAGATGTCAGAAAGTAAAGATTGGCTGCCTCTAGATCAAGTTGCGGCTGCCAACTCTCGCGAGCTTTGTCAGTAACAGTTGATTGTAATGTCAGTGCAGTCCAATTTACAGGCTGGAGCAGCAGCTGCATCCTGCATTTCCCTGAAGTATTCCATGATTTGCACCACTTGCAAACTTTATCATCTTTGTTGCAGAGAGTCCGGTAAGTTGTTCTGAATTTACACCTTTCTGTAGCATTGCCAGTTCTTGTGAAACTGGTTCTGTTGGAGGAGTGTGAGCTCTTCACGTGTTTACCGTGCCCCTCTGGCGTTCTGTTGGGAACAGTCACTGAAGCTTGCAAATGGGATAGATGAAGCAAGCGAGCAGGCACATGCATCAAATCATCCTATTATTCAGTGAATGCAAACTCAGTCCAGTTAACCAACGGCTGTGGGAACTGAGTTTATTCAACTTGGTGTAGAGGACAGTGGCACTTGTGGAATCACGGCAATATAGGCTCTTAGTGAGCTTCCTACAGAACAAATAAATAAATAAATATGAAAGTAATTTAGATGCATTGTTTAGTGAATCTCTCCTTAACAGAGTACCAAAAAGCAGTCTTTGGCCAGCCTATATTTTTTTCCTATTTATTTATTTTTTTAATTTTTTGAAGGTGGCAAGAAATGAATAGTCCTCTTAACTGTTCCGTTTAACAGGGCACTTCTCAATCAACATTTTGTCTTCTTCGACTTAAATATCAGTTGGCAAATGAACGATCTAAGTTCTTTTTATGCTAAAGGAAAACCTCTATCTGACTTTGATTTACAAACTTGTCTCTTTGCACATTTGTTCTACTTCTTTTTTGTAAGTGAGTTTAAATTGTAACAAAACAGCTTATACTTGATATTTTTATTACAGAGATAAACAAATTTTAGACTTCTTACAAAAAACATGTAAAAATCTGCAATTATTTTGGTGAAATTAGTTCCAATTTAATCAAGGAATTAAGCAGTGAGTATAAAATGTATGAATGGTTAAAAGTAAACTGAAATATGAATGAAATGATTTATTATGGCTTCTATTTTATATTTATATTTATTTTATATCTTCTACATTTTTATAAATGTATTTCATGATTATACTCAGTCAGGAACTACTATCACTAACCTATACAATGCCTTCTGTAATATAATCTATAGTTCTTTAATTATAATCTATGATTAATAGCTATATTTCACTTAAATAAAGAGTTACCTTGTTTAAGGATAAGAATGAGCTTTTAAAGCATGGATTTATAATTCAAATGTAAATTGTAGACTTCTCAATTAAAATGAAATAACATGACCTTAAGGATACCAAATACAATTTTTAATTGGATTTTTAAAGTTTTATTTCATTCTCCTAAGTTTTTTTTTTCTTATTTATAACGTCTTACTTCTTTTAAGTATATGTAAAAAAAAATCTAGGTCAATTCTATATTTCATTTTTATAAAAAGTAAGCTAATAATTTCTTAAGTCACATCTTATCTACAAATGTAGTTTTTTTTATTTAGTTCTTAGTAACACTTAATGATAATAAATATTAAAATTATGCTTTTTCTTCATTTTGATGCTTCCATGCTAAAATCTGCTGATGCTTACCACAAATAGATCGTCTCAGATGTTAGAGAGTTATAATTGCATACATATCAACTTAAGAGCAAATGAATTTCCAAATAAACCCCCAAAAATCTAATACCTAGTGAAATGTTCAAATTATGCATGCAATTAAAGTTTGCGAATGTTCTTCCTGATTGAGGTCCGTGACCTCAGAGATCCCATGCTTCTCATACCTAATGCATGATGTCTTTTCTCTGTACGCATCCTTTTAGTGCCTTACTGGGTATGTGAAGGATCCCTGAAAGACAGTGGTATAGTCTATTTATAAATAGACTTCCTCAACTCTCCACTTCACTTAGCCTGCAACAAAACAAGCTTTTTAGGTTTGGCATAAAGACTTAGTTGTTTTGATTTGACCAATTACATTTTAGGGGTGCTTGCTCCAGATCATATTAATAATACCTGACAGCGCTTTCCCCACCATTATTAGGAGATTTCATTTTAAAATAGAAATATATAGTTTAACATTTTTAAATGTGGAAAACTCCGTATTCTAAAAACTATTATGAATATTTGCTTAACTGTCCATTAAGAAGTCCTTAACTGGTCCATGATTTTGGAAAGTTCATTGATATCCAGTTATGGCAAATAGCTGGCAAATAAAGATCTGTTCATAGCAAGCAGTTTTATTACACTCAAATATTACAGCATAACTTTACTTATATCTTCTTGAATCAGGGAATTCTGATACTACTTGAAGAATTAAATTTAAAACACACAGAGAAAGAAATAATATTTTTACCTTTTTTTATCTTGAAAGTTATATTATTAAAAGTTTATAGAATTTTCCCAAAATTTCTAGTGAATTTTGTTACCTTGGAGCATTGAGAAAATAAAGGCACTATAATACTCATTCTCGGGCTTTTTCCTCCCTATCACTTCCATTATTCATTTACTTTTATAACTCCAAACAAACATTCTCTACGTTTAATTATTAAATACTATTATACTGTTTCAATAAGGTAAGTAATCTAAATGTAGATACTCAGTTGAACTTGCGTGAAACTTTCTTTCAATCTTTGTGATAAACATGCTATCTACTATCAGAGTTTAAAGTATATTTAGTGTGACAGTAGCCAATCGCACTAGAATTTGCAGAAGAAAGGCTGAGTTTTACTATTTCAATCGTTAATAAAGTTTTGAAGACATAGACTAGTACCATTTTCTTAGTGTTCTTTTCCCTTATTTCTCTTTAGATTGCTTAATGATGTAATAAATATATTAAAATTTAATTGTCTTCAGGTAGAAAAATTGTAGAGCATATGTTAGAATAGAAAGCATAAGATCATTAAGACAAAGTGATGCTTATTTAAATAAGGTAATGTAGCTTAATGAAAAGACAAAGTAGGACCACACTATGAGTATTCAAACTTATGCATATTTTAATATTCAGTGCAGATTCAATCATATGTTATGTAATACTCTTCAACAAGTACCATGTATGTTAAAATTATATTGACAATCCTGCAAGGACTGCATGCTTAACAATTGTTTTGCATATTAATAGTTAAATTATGTACAAGGAGATGACTTATCAGTGTTGAAAAGATTTTAATTCATATAAATAGTACCTTATAACATTCAGATCTATTTAGAATAAACTATAAATAAAAGCATGTAAGAAATACTTATACAAACCAAGCTAAGTGAGAGAAATGATATACAGCATTTTATCTGTTATAGTCACTACTTCAAAACAAAAACAATTAAAATTATCACATTGACTAATTATATAGAAAACAAATACTTTTGGATAGGAATTATACTTGCTTTGCAGTAGAATTAATAATGTATTCATAAAACAAAATTTTGAAAACTACCAGAGACCAAAAACTATTAGGATATGGTATTGCTTTTTTTAAACACAAAATAACATTAAAATAAAATCAAGGAATTAACCATCTTTGTGGGTAACTAAGAGAACATTGACTGAGCTAGACAAGAAGAATGCTGTATTAATTTTGAAACACAGCTTACAGTGAGACAGCTTGGTCCTATATTCCTTCCTTTCCAAAGCAATTTTAAAAAAAAGAAAAATATTCATCACGGTACTTTGTTTTTTTATGAATGTCCAACTGTATTTATTTAAAAGAAAGGAATTGGTAATTATGAGGAATGGATAAAAAAGAAATCTGTAGTAGCAGTTCCACTAAAATTCCTGTTTGAATATAAAATTGCGGGCCCAGCAGATGGCATAATGGTTATGTCACTGGACTCCCACATAGTCTGTGGTTCAAGTCCTAGTTCCGAAGGCTTAAAACTCATGCACTGTGGTGCTTTTCCAAAATCCCAAGAGGAAACTGGAGGAGAAAGGATTGTGGTGTGGCCATCCCTACTGAGGGATGATTTCTAGCTTTTTCTCTCTATATATCTCTCTCTGTCTCTCTGGCAAGTGCATGTGCCCTATAAAAAAAACTTTCTCAACAAAAGGAAATATAACATTTCACTGCTATGTGCTAAGTTCCAACACTTAAATTATTATTATATTTGTTACTCTTGTAATAATACCTAAATATCATATCAAAATAATGTCCAAATATTATATAATTTAATAATAGAATGTACTGATCTTAGCACACATCCAATATTTGTTTTGAATTTTTGCCACAGGGCACATGCGTGTGCTAGAGAGTGACACAGAAACATTAGAGAGTGGCCGGGGGAGAAAGGGCTGCCTTAGCCAGCACTGGGCCTGCACAATCCATTCATATCCAAACAGAATATAGAGGATAGGGACCAGCTCATGGTACAACCATCACATCCCTAGACTCCCACGTACTCCACTGCAGTTCCAGTCCCATGTACTGGGTACATGTGTGTGCATGCCCAAGATCCCAAGAAGAGAATGGAGGAGAAGGGACTGTGGTGTGGCCATCCCCCCAGGGAATGATTTCTCCCTTTCTGTCTCTCCATTTCTCTTGTCTCTCTGGCAGGAGCATGCATCCTATAGTAAAACATCTCTCAAAAATAATAAAGAACATATAGATAAACCTTGTGGCTTGCTTTTTTAAAAAACCTTATTATTATAGGTTATATAGATATCTGTGAATATACAGTTATGTATTGATAGAATCAGATATGGACATGGCTATAGACAATACAGACATGGCGACATCTATTATATGCAGAACAAAGAGTGGTACACCATGGATTCCTGTATTCAGATATATTAAAGAGGACTTGCTGATCACTACCTGTCCTTTGAACAATGGTGAGTGAAGCTAACTTAAGGACATTTGGAGGAGGGATAAGGAGACAGAGAATCGACGGGATGGGGAGGTAGGGGTGTTATCTGTTAAAGATATTTTGATCAACTGGACTGGGGAGAAATGTTCACATATTGAAAAGTTCACTTTCTAAGCTAAATAATGTGATTGCATGTATAAAAATAAATAAATAAATAAATAAATTTTTAAAAAATGTGAATATTCCAGGCCAGCCTGGAACTATAAGTGACCTGGTCGTTAACATGGCTAGATCCTACATAGCCAACCTTGAGGTTCAAATCCCTTTCCTGGCAGCTTGAAAACCATGCTAAGAGTGTGTGTGTGTGCATTCCAAAATACCAAAAGTTGGGGAAAATGGAGGAAAAAGTGATTGTGGAATGTCCACCTCCCATGAAGATGCCTTATCTTTCTCTCTAGTGAATGCATGCAATCCTCTGGCAAATTGTCTTAAAAATTAAAATTAAAAATTAAAATGGGAATATCCTAAGTCTGGGATATAGGTATCAGGCCATGTTCTCTGTCTTCTGAGACAATCTAAGTTAAAACAAACCACTGGGAAACCGAAAACATATGAATACTCAATGTTTATGGATTACTTTTTTTAGTTATACTGAATTTATACTTTAAAATCAGAAAGAAAATGCAGGAAAGGTTTTGTGCTTTTATAAACCTTTGTTATTGTTATGTGAATGAGATATAATGTTTATAGCTGATTACTTTAACCACATTTATTGTGTATATATTCAAACGTTAGTTCTTTTCAATGATATCTGTTACATTTTTCTATTCTTTGTCACATGGAGTTTCAGAATCTGGTTTTCAAGTTTTTATTTAAAATACACTGAGATCTGCAATCATATTCAATGCTATTTGTTCAATTGATACATAATTATTGTACAATTTTATGAGTTAAAATATGATTTATAAGTATATAAACATAATGCATAATGGCCAAATTGGAGTAAATAGCATATTCCTCATCTCACATATTTATCATTACTTTATGTTGGGAACATTCAATTTAGATATATACAGTGATTATTTAAATTAGTAACCCTACTGCGCCATGGACCACTGTAACTTTTTCCTCACCTCTAACTTAATTTTGTATCCTCTAACCAACATTTCCCTAGTCCTCTACCTTTCTCAACCTCTAATAGCAACTGTTCTATTTGCTGAAACTGATGATGACAAGTTTTTAGTTTTTACAAGTCAGTGAAAAATGTGACTTTTCTCTTTTTGCACCTGGCTTTTTTTATTTAAAATAATGTACGCCAGACTTGCCTATGTTGCTTCCCGTGACAGGATTTCCTTCATTTTTGCCTTATGAACTTTTCAAAAAATGTAATCTCCTCAAATCATCTATTTATGTCCTAAAATGAATATTACTTAATAAAATATTGAATATTTATGATTCTGTAGGTCTCAAAGTTACCTTTGCAGGCAAGCCCATGACAAGGTGATTAGGGAAGCCAGAACTCATGTGGCCAACTGTGTACTTTGAGTTCCAGACCTGGTGGTTTGAGAAACATCCGGAGCATGCGTGCATGCAAAGCCCCAAAATCCTGAAAAGAAAGAGAGACTGAGAAGGGATTGCAGCATGTCCATTGCCCATAGGGGTCGCTTTCTCACTTTCCCTCTCTCTTTAGTGAATGTACACACCCCCCGGGCAATTTCGTTTGTTCTTCTTTTAAAAAATTACTTTTGTTTATCCATGAACATGGCAGCTCTAGTCCTCTGATTTCAGTATTTAAGTATGAACCTATGAGTAACTCTGACAACGCTAACATATCAACTTTGCTAACTAGTTGTGTCTACTTTAAGGACTTATCAAATTAACAGATGTGTGTCGACTAATCCTGGAGTTTAAATTTCATCTCAGTCAGTTTCTTCCTTGACATTGTCATTCAGACAGTGAGGTCCCTCAGGATTATCAAATTTTAGAGAAATGGGTATTTATTCCTAGTCCTTCCTTTGCTTTTTTTCCATAGGTTTTTATAATGGTAGGAGGTTCGTTAGTTTTCACAATTTGTAAGATAAATGGCAACTACTATATTTTTGTGACTTAGTATGCTATAAATAAGTCATCTTACATGTTCTTCTGATTATAGGCTAGGATGGTACAGCAGACAAAATTACCAGGCAGAAAGGACCAGAGAAGGGACCGTGGACAGAAAAGAACAAGGGTACAAGTGGACCCAGCCTTAAAGGTTGTTCATTTATAGCCTCGTGCTGTCAAAGCCAGACAGCCATGACCTTTCGGAGAATACATGGGCTTGTATTTTTTCCTCTAACCAGAGTAGAAATTAGAGCTGACATGGGTAGACTGCCACTAGCTGCCACTTTTTGTGTGGCTCTGTATGGTACAGAAGTAGGATTACATAGGGTTGGTGTGAATTTTCCCCTCTTAAGATAGTAAATCTTCCTTCCTGAGGTTTGATAATATTCCCAAAGTCAAATAACCTCTACTTTCCATTCCACTTATTTCACTTTTAAATTGAAATCTGAAGTATCTCAAACCATTTCCTGTTTTGGTTTTTTTGTTTGTTTGTTTGTTTGTTTTTTGCCTCGCACATCTTTTACAGTTCATGCAGATTTATTGGTTTCATCATTTGTAGGAATCATAAAAGTATCATAATTATTTTCAATGGCGTACTTGACTATCTATCTGGGCAGTTAAAACTTCCTACTTACTCTCTTTCAGAAATCAAAATGCAGAGCAAGCGTACAATCATTTGTATCCAATTTCTCCTGTGGTTTCTTCTGCTTTGCCTGCCTATCGGGAAGTCACACACTGAGGAAGACACGGTAATTACAACCAAGAATGGGAAAGTCAGAGGGATGAACTTGCCAGTTCTTGGTGGCACCGTGACAGCCTTTCTTGGGATTCCCTATGCACAGCCACCACTTGGCAGACTTCGATTCAAAAAGCCACAATCCCTGGCCAAGTGGTCTGATATTTGGAACGCCACGAGGTATGCAAATTCTTGCTATCAGAACATAGATCGAAGTTTCCCAGGCTTCCATGGAGCCGAGATGTGGAACCCAAACACTGACCTGAGCGAAGACTGTTTATATCTGAATGTGTGGATTCCAGTACCCAAACCAAAAAATGCCACTGTGATGGTATGGATTTATGGGGGTGGTTTCCAGACTGGAACGTCATCTCTGCCTGTTTATGATGGCAAGTTTCTGGCTCGAGTCGAGAGAGTTATTGTAGTTTCAATGAACTATAGAGTAGGTGCCCTGGGTTTCTTAGCTTTACCAGGAAATCCAGAGGCCCCAGGGAATCTGGGCTTGTTTGATCAACAGATGGCACTTCAGTGGGTCCAAAAAAATATAGCAGCCTTTGGTGGAAATCCCAAAAGTGTAACTCTCTTTGGAGAAAGTGCGGGAGCAGCTTCAGTTAGTTTTCATTTGCTTTGTCCCAGAAGCCACCCATTGTTCACCAGAGCTATCCTGCAAAGTGGATCCTCTAATGCCCCTTGGGCGGTAGCCACTCACTCTGAAGCTAGGAATAGAACATTGACTTTAGCTAAATTGATCAGTTGCTCTAGAGAGAATGAGACAGAGACCATCAAATGTCTTCGAAATAAAGATCCCCAGGAAATTCTTCTGAATGAACTACTTATTGTCCCATACGATACACTTTTATCAGTCAAGTTTGGTCCGATTGTGGATGGAGACTTTCTCACTGATATGCCAGACACATTACTCCAACTGGGACAATTCAAAAACACCCAGATCTTAGCAGGTGTTAATAAGGATGAAGGGACAGCGTTTTTAGTATATGGTGCTCCTGGCTTCAGCAAAGATAATGACAGTCTCATCACTAGAAAGGAATTTCAAGAAGGTTTGAAAATATTTTTTCCAGGAGTGAGTGAATTGGGAAAAGAATCAATCCTTTTCCACTATGTGGACTGGGTAGGTGACCAGAGACCTGAAAACTACCGTGAGGCCTTGGATGATGTGATTGGGGATTACAATATTATCTGTCCTGCCTTGGACTTCACCGAGAAGTTCTCAGAAGTGGGAAATAATGCCTTTTTCTACTACTTTGAACACCGATCCTCCAAACTCCCTTGGCCAGAATGGATGGGAGTGATGCACGGTTATGAAATTGAATTTGTTTTTGGCTTGCCTCTGGAAAGAAGAGTTAATTACACAAAAGCTGAAGAAACTTTAAGTAGAGCCATAATGAAATATTGGGCAAATTTTGCAAAATATGGGTAAGTGATGATTTTTGTGATTGTTCTTCTCTGGTTTTGTTTGTTTCATTTCACTTAGCTTTGTTTGGTCTCTGGTGTAGATGTCCTTAAAGACACAGAAGTTTTAATTATTTATTCTCTTTGTTCCTGGGCTGGTTTTATATTGTTATGTAGTGAGTTTCAATTCCTTATGTCAGAGTGCTCAAAGGTGGAGCAGGGTAACGCTCTACGCAAGTAAGTGGAATCGTGTGGAAGATCATGGGTTTTGTTCCGGGTAGACCTGCACATACAGGGTGCATGCACCCCAATCCTGACTGGCCAAGAAGGCTAAAGGGAGAGGGAGGATTGTGGAACTGAGACGCTCTCAAGGGTGATTTGTTCCTCTCTCTCTCTTTCTATACCTCTCATGCTTGCGAAAGGATAAACATGAAAAAAGAAAAGAATCATCTTAGAACTTTAATAGAAAGTATTGCATGAGGACGGGAGAGTGGCATAATTGCAATGGAATGCTCTGCAGCGTAGGATCCACCTAGGAAGGCCCCAGGTTCTGGTCCCAGCACCTCTCTGCACATGTGGTCTATGTGCACACGGCCTGCCATCCAGGTTGTGCGAGGCTGGGAGAGGATTGTGATGTGGAGACTGTTGAGAAGACTTGTCTCTCTCTCTCTCGCTCTCTCACTCTCTTGCTCTCACTCACTCAGTAAATAAATAAATATACTTTTTAAATAACCAAACAAAAATGGCCTAATTTCATCTCCAAAGTATTGCAAAGTACTTTAACAAAGTTAGCTAAAGTTTATAGGGAGGTAGATTCTTGCTTTGAGAACTGAAATTACTGTGACAATGTTTTTTAACCTGCAGTTCATTATGTTCACCGATTTTAGCAGAGTAGGGACATAGTTTCTCATGCTCTAATGTTTGTCCTTGGTACTGTGGTACTGACACGGGAAGAAAGTCATGCCTGCTCAGAAAAATGGAGGGGAGAGATGATGAGGAGGTAGACCCTCAGATGTGCCATGGTGCCTACTGTTTTTCATAACAGATTTGTTCAGAACTCTCAGATAACCTGTTTTTCACAGCAGCCATGATAGTCCTGATGTTTAGGAGAATTGTTATCCATTTGTTATTTTTCTCAAGAATTATTTATTTTTAATTTTATTTATTCATGCATTTATTTTAATTTGACAAGAGAGAGACACACAGAGAGAGATAAGGAAAGTGAGAAAGCAAGTCACCAGGTCCGGGTCTCAAACTGTGGTCGACCATGTGGGAGTGTCCAGAGCTTTACCAACCACTCCACTTGCTGCTCCCAAGTTCTTCTCCATTTGAGTAGTCTTATAGCTGACATTAGATAACCAGAGACTTCTTGAAAGAGTATGTTTTCCCTCACATGCTATAAATATTGTAATATTATGTTCTCAAGTGTCAAAAGAAAATAATCTGTTGGAATATGTTTTTAAATATGTGCATATAAAATAAGACTTTTTTTCTCACTATATTTGCAACCTGAAAATAATCTTATGCTTTGGAGTATTTTGAACCAGTATAAATAATGAAAAAAGAAATTTGAAATATAAGTTTCAAAAGGAATCCTTATAGCCATAAAAAATTAATCTGTCAGGGAACCAGCAGTTAGCGTAATGGCTATGTCGCTGGACTCCCACGTAGTCAACCGCAGTTCGTGTCCCGGACCCGGTGGCTTAGAACTAACGCCGGGTGCGTGTGCGTGCATGCCCAAGATTCCGAGAGGAGAATGGAGGAGAAGGGATTGCAGTGTGACCATCCCCTCTGGGGGGTGATTTCTTGCTTTCTGTCTCTATGTCTCTCTCTGTCTGTCTGGCAAGCACACGCGCCCTATAGCGAAAATCTCTCAAAAAAAAATTAATCTGTCATACATTTTTCTATTATGAAAAAGAATACAGACAGTAATAAAATTGCTTCCTGGTTTTCCTTTTAACTTTCCATTTAATTTTTTTTTTACTCCATGTTTGCTTCCCTCCCTTCTTTCTTTCTTTTTTCCTGTTCTTTCATTTCTTTTTTCTAGAGATCTTGTGTAATCACCAGAGAAAGACTGTGACCACAGACACGATATTCTAGCTTTATGGTTTTCATTGGTGGATATTCCTCACCCAACCCTTTCTCTCCATCCCCTGAAGCATGTTACAATGGCTGGAGCCTTTTGTGCGCGTCATAACTGAGCAAATGTGTGAGATAGGCCGACAGAGGCTGGGGAGTACTGCTAAACATCCCCGTGAAGCACAGCATGGCGACTCCATCCTGATGAGTATTCGTTCGTTCCAAAATGTCAATTTGTCAAGGTGGAGAAATTCTGCTTCTCTGTACTTTCCCACAATTCCAAAAGGCCACATTAAGAAAGTGAAAGTAGAACTTGGAATTGTAATTATCATTAAGAAAAATTACTTTTCAAATTTATGATTCAGAAAGTGTTTTTCTGTTTTGTTTTGCCTTAATTTTTAAGTTTTTGTCATAGGGCATGTGTGCTTGCTGAGCGACAGAAAGAGACAAGAGACAGTATGAAGGAAACGGAGAAATCACACACACACACACACACACACACACACACCCTGAGAGGAGGGCAACACCGTTATCCCTTCTCCTCCAGTCTCCTCCTGGGATCTTGGGCAGGCATGCACAGGTACCTAGTATGATTTTCAAGTGACTGAGTCCAGGACTTGAACTGCGGTTGGCCACGTGGAAGTCCAGCATCTTAACCACTCTGCCACCTGCTGACCTTCATAAAGTATTTTATTATTTTTCTTTCAATTATTTATTAGTTTTATCCATTTTATTTTTTCATTTATTTTTCTTTATCTTCTAATTTACATTTAATCACTGTATATCTTTACAATGTACAATAATGCTTTTTCTAACATGAATGTAATACATATCAGTCAAGACAAAGACATTACCATATACATTATCGTCATTTTTGTGTCATTTAAAAACGTCGTTTCCCCCTTCCCCTCCTTCTTCCCTCTATTACCCACCCCCGTATTACCCCTATCCTTACTTTTTTTTGTATCTACCATTGCCCTCCCTGCTACCAAACTTTCCAAACTTTCAGCTTCTGCTATATAACACAGACAATCAATGTATATTGAATGGGGACATACAAAGTCTGTCTTTCATACACTGGCTTGCTTCACTGAGCATTAAGTCCTCCATATTGGTCCACTTGGTATCAAATCTCAAGGTCTCATTTTTTTTATGGCTGAATAGTGTTCCATAAAGTACACGTGCCACATTTTTTCAATCTACTCATCTATTTTGGACACTTGTGTTGATTCCATGTCCTAGCAATTGTAAATAATGGTGTAATAAACATGAGTGTTATTCCAAATGAGGGTTTTGCTATCTTTTGGTTAAATACCTAAGAGTGGAATTACTGGGTCCTATGTTGATTCTATTTGTAGGTTTCTAAAGAATCTCCATATCATTTTCCACAGTGGATATACTAATGTGCATTTCCACCAATGGTGTAGGAAAGTTCTCTTTTCACTACAGCCTTGGCAGCATTTATTATTATTATTATTATTATTATTATTATTAATTTAGCCATTCTAACTGGGGTTAAGTGGTATCTCGTCGTGGTTTTGATTTGCATTCCACTCATGATAAAAGATGTTGAACATGTTTTCATATATTTTTGGCCGTTCATAGGTCTTCTTTGGACAGTTGGCTGTCCAGCTCAATTTCCTGTCTTTTAAGTTTCCTGTATACTCTGGTTTGCAGTTCCTTATCTGAGGTATACTTTGCAAACTTATTCTCTCACTCTGAGGGGTGTTTTGTCACTCTAATTATTGTTTCTTTTGCTGTGCAGAAGCTTCTCAGCCTAGTACAATCCAATGTTTCTGGTTTTGGAACTATTGTCTGTGCTTCAGAAGTCTCTTTTAAGAAGTCTTTGCCTACTCCAAGGTCTCCACAAGTTTTTCTTGTGTTTTCCACCAGTATTTTTATAATTTGAAGTATTATGTTTAGATCTTCAATCCATTTTGAGTTGATTTTGTCAGTGGTGAGAGATAAGGATCCAGTTTCGTTCTTCTGCTGGTGGACATCCAGTTCTCCCAACACCCTTTGCTGAAGAGATTTTCCTTTTCCCACTGGATAGTCTTGTGCCTTTTGTCAAAGATTAGTCGACTATGTTTTGGGGTTTATTTTGAGGTTCTCAATTCTGTCCCATTGGCCTACCTGTCTGCTTTTGTGCTAATAACATGCTGTTTTAATTATGGCAACCTTGTAATTTTTTGTTTGTTTGTTTTGAGGTCAGGAAGTGAGATGCCTCCTACTTTATTCCCCTTGCAAAGTATTGCTTTGGTGATATGGAGCCTTTTACAATTCCAGACGAATGGTTTATTCTATTTCTGTGAGGAATATTTCTAGTAATTTGATTGGAATTGCATTGAATTTGCAGGTTAATTTGGGTAGGATTGACATCTTTATTATGTTAATTCTTCTATTCCAGGATGGGATGTTTTTTCACTTTTTTCTATCATTTTTAATTTCTTTTTCCATTGTTTCATAGTTTTCCTTATAGAGATGTTGGGTGTCTTTGGTAAGGTTTATTCCTAGATATCTCATTAGTTTTATAGCTATTGTAAATGGGATTGCTTTCTTCAATTCTGTCTCAGTTTGTCCATTGCTGGTGTATAAAAATGCTATAGATTTTTTATGTCCATTTTGTATCCTACTACTTTACTATATTTATTTATCATTTCCAAGAGTGTTTTTTTGTGGATTCTTTTGAGTTTTGTATGTATGACATCATATCATCTTCAAATAGAGATCATTTCACCTCTTCTTTTCCTGGATGCCTTTTATTTAACTCTCTTGTCTGATGACATTGACTAAAACTATGTTAAAAAGGAGTGGTGTGAAGACCCTGTTGGGAGTGCCTGCCTTTCTTCTACTCTCTCTCTTTCTTTGTAATGAAGGACTATTTTTTTATTAAAAAAGTCAAAAAATAATTAATGATAATACTAAGTAGTATTCAAATTCAATAT